AAGTTACAAAAGTTTTTTTTTTCGATTATAACCATAATGAAAAACATAGCCTGCCTCAAAAATGGGCCTCTTGTATCAGTCAATCAATGAGAATGAAGAATTGAACACGTGATTTGCGCGGGCACGATTCCACCATGATCTCTTTTCACGTGATTGTCAGCAGCTGATTTCACGAGATGGACTGTAGTTTAGAATGGAGTCAATTTACAAATCAATCAGTCTCCGAAATATTTATGTACGAGTGAATCAAATTGCCCTGATGATGAGATTGTGTCCAAGGACAGAGTCTTTTGAGGCTTCATTAGTTGAATTGTTAACCATGCATTATCTTATCAAGCAGAAGTGAAATAAACTGTTTCGTAGTCAGTTATAACTTTGAAAGAAACAACTTATCTTCATAGGAATAGTAAGTCTTTGACCTACGATTATACTCTTGTGATTTGTTATTTATTGATTCAAGAAATAAACAGTCGATTTAGATTTGAGTCTGTGTCTTTGTTGCAAAGACTATATATTCAAGCATTATTTCAAACAGATTATCAGTGCTGCTATGTAGGATGAGGTTTTGCTATTGCTTTCCATTTGTCTTGCTGGGTAAGGCTACTTGTTGATGGAGGCATTTGGAGGTGTTTCAAAACACAAGCAGCAAGGGAAACGGACATAAGGGAAAATGGCTTGGATGTTTCTGAGCTAATGAAGACGTCACTTTCAGCTATCGTTTCACTAAAATTGATTAAAGCTTTAACAGTTTTAGTTTTACAAAGGAATGAAGAAAACACAGATTTTGCCGTCAGTGTTCCAATGCTCCTCTTTGGGTGCGGTGTACATCTTCTCAAAGAAGGCAATCTGTCTTGCCATCAAAAAGGAGAAAGTCCATTGCTATGTCTTTAGCCTGATAGCAGAAATTCAGCAGACTGCATCGGCTAAATGCTCTGTTTTTTTTTAAGAATACTCAATTAAACTTATTTTACAAAAGAACATTTACGGTACAAATTCAATCTGGCCCTTGACATCTTGCAAGCTCCCTTTGTCCCTTCAGAATGATTTGTATATAATTTTTGAGATATTGACAAATTATAGTTTCAACAGTATCATTTATTATTGTTTTTATTATTATAGTTCAGTAATATTCAAGTTTTGCCTAGTATATGGGTTGTGTACCCAAGAACTTATGCTATGTTGGGGAATTTATGCGGTAGTAGGTATTCCAACATAGGCAGGAGTGAGAAAATAACTTTACGTTTATGTTTTTGGGAAGCACGGACAGGATTGATTGGAAATTGGTGAAGTCGGGCAGTCATTAGAAGAGCATTGTAATAACGTTTATGCTTCTGGGATGTGTACGTTAGAGGTGATTAATGTATGGGCGAAAGTTTGCTTTGCAACTCAGTTCAGTTAATACAGCAAATGGTGCGGCTGGGGAGAGGGTTGCTGAAGTGGACAGTCTTTACAATAAAATGATATATAAGATGCATCAGTAATCTGTTTTAATAAGGAAGCCAGAGTCTGTGGCTGTCTGCTGAGCCCGAGACAATAGCTTGGGAGGCAGTGAAATTGGTGATCAGAATTCCATTTGTTAAATTGGTGAGTAAGATAATTCAAACTAACCGATGCCACCTGCTTTAATAGAATATTGCAGATCGAGTTGGAAGAATCATTACTTGATGATCATTGCCAATAAATATTCATTGCTAAGCTTGCATTCAAGTTGTTCTTCGTGTATTCACTGTTTCCTTCGCAACTGACACTAACACGATACCTTATATCTTTATAAAATTTACTAATCTGCCAGAATAAATTACTGGGTATTTCTGACTTCGCGCTATTGATTCTGGATTGAAAATTTGATTGAGTTATTTGTTGGGGCAATGAAGAGTCGCTGTGGATCTCTCAGATGATGTTAGGTTTTCTTTAAAATATACATTCTTACAATGACTTTGTCACTGGCTAGGCCAGCCTTTCTTGCTCATCCTTAGATTCCCAGAGGGCACTTAAGAGTCAAACACATTGCTGTAGGTCTTGATTCATATGTTGGCCAGACCAGATAAAGTCGTAACTTTCCTTCTCTAAAGGACGTTAGTTAGCTGGGCGGGTGTGTCAACAATCAATAATCAGATTCATGGTCACGATGAGACTGTTATTTCCAGATTTATATTGAATTTAAATTCACCATCTACCGTGGTGGGATTTGACCTTGCTTTCCCAGAATAGTCCAGCAATAGTAACACTAGGCCATCACCCTGCCCTGGAGCACAAAATGTGCTCAAACAAAAAAAAAACCTTGAGGGAGAAAATAATAAAAATTTTGCAAAAATTGATTACAAGACAACGTTCCTTGAAGCTGATATCCACTCAGAGACAGAAAACAGGAAATCATTTCATTATAGTCTTATGCTGGAAACAATAAACTGCGGGGGTAAAAAAGAAAAAAAAAATATGTTCAGGTGTTGTAGGTAAAATATTACCAAGTACAATTCTGTAGTGAGTCAGACACAGCTTTATTAACAAAAGCTTTTGGGAGAAGCAGGAACCTCAAAGGGGCCTCACCAAATCTTCTCAGCTATTACAGACGATTTCAAAGGTTATATACAGTTGCTGTCATGCGCCAACCTCCCCTTCAAGTCATGTACACTGTTCTTTAATCTGTTCCAGGCGTCTTGCAAAGCGGGTGACTGTTAGTGCGGCTATTGTTTTCACGCGCAGGATTTGTTGTTTCAGCGGATGTTTCATCCTGATTGTGTAAAGTTTGGTCTAAAAGTCCACTTCCTTATCAGAGTTGTTGTGGAATTTGTTGTGTTGTTAATCTCTTTACTTACTCCTTCACAGGTGTTGTGTCTATTTAAAATTAACAAAACCTGTCGACAATAATTCCCTGGTGCATTGTCCATACAAAAGCCCAGAGCAAAGAAAGTCAAATTGTCAAAACATCAGCATTGCTTTCTCCGGCAATATTTCTGGTGAGATCTGATGCTGGACATGCACAAACCTTTTAAGGTGCAGATCAAATTCGGAAGACTCGAATGAGGGAGGAGGAATCCTTCATTTTTAAACTGAACCATGTAATACAAAGGCAAAAATATTATGCTTGGCCCTAAAAAGTATCACGAATTATACCCAACTTGTTTAGGGAGACTTATTGCGTTGTAAAGACTTAAGGAAAGACGTGAAATGGAATTTAGAATCTAGAAAGGAAGTAAAGGAAACTGTTTGCAATTGTACAAGCGGGATCTCAATTTTGAGGTGTTTTGACTAAATAGCATAACTGTATCACCTGTCAGATGTAGAAGCTACTGAGTTATCAGGAACTATTATGTGCTGTTTAGAAGTGCAGTAGAAGTATCTTGAGTGCTAACTTTCCAAGGGAAATTTTAGTTTACAACTGCTTGAAATCGCATCGTTGCAAGATAAATTGTAAGCTATGAAGTTTGCAGGGTACCAGAGAAAAACAGGCAACGGGAATAATGGGATTATTTCTTCAAAGGACCGTGCACTGGAAGCATCATAGTTTTTTTTCTGTGCTGTATTATTTTATGTTTCTATAATGTAAGACGTTAATTCGAACAGCTAAAGACTTTACGTAGCAGGACAGCACCAGAACAGTCATGAGAATTGATAACGACATGGATGAAAGCTTCAGCAGGAGCAAGGGCCTAAGATTGAATATGTTATCAAGAACGGAAATTGACTTTGTGATGATGAGAATAAAGAGAGAAAACATTTCTCATGGTGAAGTGTGATGTAGAGTTGTGTTTTTATTTAAACGTGAGCGGTTATCAGTGGTCATGACAATTCTGGTGCTGTCTGCATGGATTACACTATAGCTAAATGTTTCTTAAATGTTGCTTCAAAATTCTGCTGCCTCAGATAGTCATGCAGTCCGTTTCGAAATAAATTATTTTTGGACTCTTTTAATGAAGGAAAATTTAAAGATACGGTAAAATGATGTGGGATTTGCAGAAATACAATGTGAACAAATCTAATTGCACACATATCAGTAAACAGCGGGCAAAATATCAAAATCAACTGTCAAACACGAAGGGAGAGATTAAGTGAGAAATTTTATGTTGAAGAGGGTCGTTTCGTTTGTAAACCCCCTCCAAAAATCGATAATGCTAGCCGAATTACTTTCTTTCCATGAATATTGCCAAACATTTGTAAAACAAAGTGCAAAAAACACAGGGCAAGAAGGCTTGAAGATAAAATTTAGTTTGCACATCTCCCTGGCTTCACAGTGAGTGTATGTCGAGAAATGAGTGAGACTATTGCCTGATGTTCCGCACTATACCATCATTGTGGCGATTTAAATAACACTTTCAGTGCTGAAAAGTTGGTATTATCTAAGCTTCTCGAGTAATATAGTCAGGTGATTGTTTTCTCTGCTGTTTTGTGTTCAAGCTCACTGATGCAGACTCTTAAAAATTCAAAGTTCACCACTCCGTTTGGCTCCAATGTCACCCCTGAGAGAAAGAAATTAAGTTCCTTTATACACCAGAAAATAGGCTGGTGATCAGTAAGAGGTTCTATCTGCAAAGCTGCTTGAGGGAATGAATCATCCCAAGGCTCTTCATAGGATGGTTGCAAATGGAAATGTAACACAAGCTACTTGAATCAGGTAGCCAATTTGTGTTGGATAAATTGGTAAACTTTAAAATAATACAGTATTTAGACGAGTCAGAGTAAGTAGAAAACTAGAATTGTGGAAGACCCAAAGCTCGAATGTGGAAGGCCTTGCAACAATTGAAGCTAAAATTAATTAAATATTGAGCAATGGTTCCAAGAACAGATGAGCTGATGTAGGAGTGCAATTGAATGTTGCAACTGGTGCAAAACATTGGTACTGCAAGTATCAGTGCCAAATCTGCGGTCAGAAGCTCTTACCAGAACGAAATACTGCACAAAAATTGTGAAGTCTGCTTTTGAATCAAGCAGTCAGCGAGAAGAGGTTTGAAATCGCAGTTGGTGAAATTCATCCTCCTAACGTTTACGTCCTGCCCCGATCCATGACCGAAATTAACGCTGAGAAGATGGGTAATTTGGTGTATCGAGCCAACGGCTTTTACCCTGCTGAGATTTACTTTGGTTGGATGGCCAAAAACACACCTTTGAACTTAGAGTACAGGTGCCATGTGGAGATCAACAAGGGAAATGGCCCTAGCTCCATTACCAGTACATTGAGGCTCACTGTGGCAGAGTGGAACTGTGGAACCAATTTGCTTCTGTTTAGTGCGACACCCATCCCTTCGCAGAAATTTAATGAGGAGTATAAATATTTCCCATGGCAAACCAACATTTGTTCCAACTGACAGTTTCAAACCCTATTCATAATCTGAGATGTGTGTATTATAGTTTCCTATGGATGTGTTAAAACTTGTATGCCAATATCTAAGCAACTGAGTCGGATATGAATATTCTGAAAAGCTCAATAGGGTTCAATGGCATTGCTAGACGAAGATGGAATTCTTTATGTGGCTTTGTTCATTGCAATAAACGAAGAAATACTTCCATACCCATGTTTTGCTTGCATGTTACTTTGCAAAAATTACCTTACATTTAATCTAAATGTATATATTATCTAGAGTGATATGTGAGCAGTACAATACGTCTGGTGCCCAAAGCTTTACGTCCATTACGGTTGTTGTTAATCACTTGCTCCTGAGTGCAATAAAAAAGCAGATTCCACGTGTACGTTGATGAGACCTGGCTCTCTCTCAACATCCTCTAAATTGACCCCGCTGCTGCCTTCCGAATAATGCTTGTGCAGTAAATACTAGTGGACGAGCAGAAATGTCCAACAATTAAACAGTACAGCGACCACCAAAACTAATGTGTTATGTGCCTGCCAAAACATCAGTTTCTCAATTACCTGATCCATCCTTCTACCTGACCATTGTTCGAGGCTAAACCTGGATTCAGAGGCTCGGCATCCCAATCAAAACTGAGCTATCTCCAAACACATATTGACTCCACCACTATGACTCTCTGCTTGCCACTCTGTCATTTCAATTGACTCTCACCTCCTCTTCGCTCCCCTGCTGCTGAAAATGTCATCCATTCCTTTGACGCCTGTCGATTTGACCATTGCAGCTCTCTCTTGGAATGCCTCCAATATTATTGCACATTAAACCATATCCTTTTCATAATTTCCCCCTTCCACATTATTCATTGATGGCTTCCAAATTTGCAGCCAATAAAACGTTCATTAAACTATCAGGAAAGGCGGTGGTTTAATGGAAATGTAACTGCAGTATTAATCCAGTCCCCCAGATTGGTGAACTCAATTGTTATCTCCCCACAGTTGCTGGTAGAATTGAAGGTCCATTGACATGCCTGGAATTACTCTCAGCAATAGCGAGCATGACACTGTTTTAAAACATCACTGGTTCATTGCAAACATAGTAAACAAAGTCTGATACACCTTATACAGTTTGTACAGCTATTTTATATCGTTTCTCTGGAATAGCCTCGGGAATCATTTAATTCATGGCCAATTCGAGTTCAGCAAATAACGCTCGTGCCTCCATCTTGTGAAACAGTAGAGAATAGAGACATTTTCGTAGTCCTGTAATACTGGCCTCTTCTCTATCCTGCTTTTGTACTGTCTGATTGGCGGCAGTCAATGGCAAATGGAATTACATTAACAAAAATAATTTTAAAAAACAAGTTCTATGCTGTTCCGTGCCTATAATGAATCTGCTAATCCAATCGTTGCCAAAATCGTGGTGTTACATGCTCATGTCACACGGGACACCAGATCGTTGTTTAATCTGTATTGTTAATACGTCATATGCACAATGTCACGCTGGAACCTCTGGCACAGGTTAAAGAATTGATTGACATGCTACTGTCCAGATCCATCCCTCCAGAAAATCCCACGTTGTGATTGGAGGGGATACCCATTGTTTCCATAAAAAGTCACAGCAGCAATCCGTTCCTGCAAGTGCCAGATTTTGCACGGGGGATTGTTGGTTAAGTGTCTCTAATACCATGATTTACTGAATACAGTAAAAAGAAGGAATGCAAACAATTCGCTTGTTATAGATGAGATAATCTGTCATGTGAAGGAATCAGGTCAGAGAATTCATTAACCAACTTTGCACAATATATGCCTGATCAGCCGACAGTGACACAAGGATGGGTGAGGCCTTTTATGACAACAGTCAGTGCACTGTTCTATGGAACGTAGAAATGTTTATGTTGACCGTGTCACTGTGACTTTGCATAACGTTGCTCTCTGAGATGTACTATCTGTCCATCCTGGAGGGTGTCTGCTCGATGGTCTGTTGTACCTGCTAATGCTGGAGCAACCCTCTCTGATTGGAAGAAGTGCTGCTCTATGACAAGTGGTGCATATATCTTTGCTGGTGGCTGTTTTAGAATGGGGAAGCTTTGGTCGCACGAGATGTGTCAGCTATGCATGCACAGGATGTTTCTCTGAGTGGGAGAAACGCAGATCACATATAAAATTACTACTGTGTCTTACATAATACGAACTCTACTCCTCTGACACAATAATTACTTTTATTCATTATTATGGACATTGCGTCAATCAATATCAAGCTGGCAAAAGTAACAGCTAAGTTTTAATGATTGGTAAGTTCAACTTCTATTATATCACCAAACCCGAGATTGCCGGATTCATTTCATCAACACTGCATTGTATTCTGCTTTCAACGTGAACACATTTATAACAATAACCATCAATTCCATCCAGAAATCCCTGACGTGGAGGATGACCTAGATGTCTATGAGGTAGAAGAAGACACTTTGAAAAGTTTTAATGACGATACCGACTTTGCATTAAAGATTCTGAGGAAGGGTCAACGGACCCGAAACGTTAACTCTGTTTTTTTCCTTCACAGATGCTGCCACCCCTGCTGAGCTTTTCCAGCAACTTTGTTTTTGTTCCTGATTTATAGCATCCGCAGTTATTTTGGTTTTTATTTTGAACGAATGGTGATCATTTTCGTCATCCTGTTCGTTCTCAGCATGATGTACAACGCGTTTGTAACAACGCTAAAGCGAAGAACCCATTTCAGCGATACCATAGCATTGTGCAAATTTACAGGAAATTTGTATACGAAACAAAGATGAACATTTATTTCCCCCACCCCACCCCCACCATCATAAATGGGACATCATTAATCGTTTACATGTGATTAACTGACAAGTTCAATAAGCCTACTGCACATGATGTTTTAAAAGAATACGTGAGAGTGCATGTGACATATGGGAATTAAACAATACAATCGAGGGAGGTCATTACCTTGCCTGTAGATTGGGGTTATTGGAAGCACAGAAAATAGAAAATCGGTTTAGGGTTATATTTGGGAATATTGAGCATAATAAATCAAAAGCGAGAGGAAGGAAGAAGACAAGCAGACGTTCCAAATACTCACGATGACTTTGAAGGAATGTGAAGAGCATTGATTGATGAAGGATTGCAGACAGAGGACATGATTTGCAAGTCTGCATCAGGTTATGTTTAGTCCGTGTCTGAATTAATTATACACATTGTAATTACATGTCTCCTAATAATACTGTGTGGCAAAAAATATATCAATCACTGTTTTCACTTTTCTAATTATTCACTAAATCCACAGGATTTTGTGAGGAGGACAATTTGAAATATAACTATTCTTCAGGTGAATAAATAGTCCCTGGCGTTACCCTCAACCGGCTGGTGCGAATTTTAGTTTCATTGTCACCTTCTTCTGAGTTCTGTCAACATCGTTAGAGTATAAAGTTTCTCTCCATAAATCGTCTGCATTTTCAATGACCTTGAACAGATCAATTCTATGGACCAATTCTTGAATTATGGAGTGTTACAGTTGCTTCCATGCATGAGTCACAAAAAGTTAGTGTTCAGATGTAGCACAAAGTCAAGAAGGCTATGGGATCTTATCTTTTATTGTGGGAAGAATTGACCATAGCAGTAAGGACTTTATGCTTCATTTGAATTGAATATTGGTGAGGCCATGTCTCGAAGGCTATGTTGAATGTTTGTCTCATTTTTTTTATAAAAAAAGGAGGAATGTACATGCATTAGGTGTTGTTCAGACAAGTTTAACTGGGTTTACAGTTTAAATGAAAGAACTGTTTTATGAAGGTATTTTAACAAACTCGGCTTAAATCCAATGACGTCCATAAAAGAGAGAAGTGGCTTTACTTGGCTCGATAAGACCCTGAATCCTCATGATAACAAAAATTCGAAGTTATGTTTTTCATAAAAATGTGAGGTGAGGTACTTTGGAAGAAGTAATAAGACAAGAGATTAATCAATGAATGGTCGGAAATAAGGAAGCTTTGATTGGGTACTTGCCCACAGATCTTTGAAGGCGGAAGGAGAGGTTGCTTTAAGAAATCTTAGCACAGATTATCAAACCAGGGAGATCATGTTGGAACTGTGGAAAACCTTGGTTACGGCACAGCTGGAGAACTGTGTGCATTACTGTTCAGCACATGATAGGAGTGACGGAACGCCACTGAAAAAAGGTCTGAAAGAACTGCGAATGCTGGAAATCTGAAACAAAAGCAAAACAAAAAAGCTGGAAAATCTCAGCACATCTGGCAGCATCACTGGACAGAAATCAAAGATAACGTTTAGGGTCCAGTGACTCTTCTTCAGAACCAGATCTGCATAGATTTTCCAGAAATTTGTTTTTGTTTGGAATTTCAGTGGTACGGCTGCAAGAGAGGCTCACCAGGATGTTGCCTGTATGGGAGCATTTTAGCAATAAATAGAGGCTAGAAAAGCTGTTTTCTTTAGCGTAGAGCAAGCTGAGTGGGAACCTTACTGCGATGTTAGAGATTATGATGGCCATGTGCACAAGGGTAGTAGAGGTGTCCTGTGATGATAGTCGACAGCGCTTCCTTAACGCCCCACTTTGAGTTCCTCGACCTGTTCCAAGTCCATCACTTTTGCCACGGCAACAGTTGTACACACTACAATGGTGGGTATACTCACTATGACAATGAGATTGTGCTACGATGACATGACTGTGCACTGGTAACTGTTACCATCACTGTTATGTACAAGTGCAGTTGCGGAAGGCAGATTAGTGAGGATGAGCACAAGTCTGTTTTTCCTTCTTGTTGGCTCCCTCACCACCTGCTCTAAATCTTACCACTCTTTCGTGTTTCTTCCACTTAGTGCTGAACATAGGGCA